ATTCCCAAAAAAAAAAAAAAAAAAAAAAAAAAATGTTTTTTTTTGTTTTTGTTTTTGTGGGGTGCCGACGACCCCCGACCGGTAGGTGCCGACCAGCCGATAGGTCGGCGGGTTGGCAGCCGACTAGTCAAAGGCCGCTGACTGTTGGGGGGTGCAACAATGAATAATAATAAAAAAAATTGAACGCCGTTCAAACGCGAATTTGAACGCGAACGCGCGTTCATGGCGTTCAAACGGTTACAGAGCTGCAGATGATGCTAGAGATGGGATGAATTTCGTTGAAACATTGTTTTGACCTGCTTCTGGTTGTTGTAAACGCGGTTGTGATTCTTGGAGTTCGCGTTGCTGATTGAGTTTGGGAGAGATGGTACTCAAGAGAACTGAGTAAATTCAATTCTATGTTTGGATTCGGAGCTTCCACTGTGTATTTCTCATCCTCTGGTTGGTGTGGTTTGCTCCCTCTTAAGTCTACATCAAAATTGGATGCGTGTATGGGAACATGCGAGTTGAATGTGCATTGAGTTACAATCAGGCACACAACAAAGCTGTAGTTCATAGTTGTATGTGGTTGCTGCAGATTTCATGTGGATATCCACTGCTTCTATGAAGTGTTTGTTTTAGTGACGTAACTGACGTTCTTCTTTCAGGCATCATTGTCAAAAAAAATATTTTGGCAAGATTTTGGTATATGTTCCTTTTACTCGAAGATGACTTCAGAAAAGTGAGTATTTAGTCATCTTCAAGGGGAAGTTTTGCAGTAAAGGATGATGAGTGGATCTCTGGTACCTACTCTCCTACTTTCATGCAATTGACATCTGCCTGAATCGTTTCCATTTTGAATAATTTCGTTGCGTTCTTTTGGTTCTCGTACTGTTTAAACTCTTGTGGCCAAATTGGAATATTGGTCAGAGGAGTGCATATCACAATCAGCTGTCAGTTGAGGCAGCGTGTGATGCCCACCGCTGTGAAGACATTTGTAATGCTTGGGAAGGACAACCAAGTCCTGTGTCTGCGCTTGACTTTCCTGGGTCCGAGGATGAAGCTTCTCCACTTATGAGGCGGGGGATTTCAAGCAGAGACGGTTCTGAAGGTTGGTGACGGAACTCATCATGGAATCATCTGGAGATCTTGTTAGTTGTTCACCTGATGTTGGTAATTCTTTCATCGTCCTTTCATGGTTTCTGGAAACTTTGTTTGGATGCTACCCTTACGCTGTTGGTAAATTCTGAAACCATGGAGTGATTGCTTTCTTGATTGGTCAAATGTTTGTCCCAGCCAGGCGTGCGAGGAATGATGCTTCTCACTTCGCAGTTTCCCTTGCACCTGGCAGTTGACTCCTGATTATTTCCATGTGTGCTGGGCTACCAGCTGGGCCGCCCCGGGTTACCTTGTTTGACCGCACGGCCTGGTCGTGCAAGGAACAGGGAAGGGCCTCGCAAAAAAAAAAAAAAATCAGAAAAACTATGTGATGCACAAAAAAAATCTGAACAACTTTTGCCTCAGGGTCACATGGAAATTCTTTACCGAATTTTAAATATGTAATGAACCTCTCAAATCCACACCGAAACTCCACATGCACACACAGATCATTCATCTGAGAGCTCACACCAGAAGCCGAGAGATGAAACCCAAGACAGCGCACCAAAGAGCTGTAACGGTTATTATATACAAAGAAAGTGTTTGAGTATCTGGCGGCTTCAGCCACACACAACCACAACACTCAGATCCAGGTATGTACCCGGCTTCCCTCTCTCTCCATCAGCTTGTATCGCTCAACCTCGCTGACTCTCTGCACTTCGATCACTCGCCTTTCCACTCTCTCTTACCCTACTCCACTTGGATCGTACCCTGAATGCACCCCCGCCGTTCCACCCTTGACCTCTGTGGCTATGGCAACCTTCTTCCTCAACCTCCTAACTCTAGCTATGGTAACCAGACGTCTTCTTCCCCGCTGAGCACTCACTCCTCCGGCGCCCACCCTCCATCCATGTCGCACTATCACACAAGCAACCCGCAGCGCTTCCACAACTTGCACTGAAGAGTCGATCCGGCTTGTTGATGCTGCTGGGCTCTTATACTTGCTTATCTGCCTTCCAGACATCTTCTGTTGGTTATGGGTTTGTCCCCTTTGCCTTTGTTCCCTGCTTCTGGACGCTTGCGGACTCTTCTTGGGTTTGGCTGCTCCCGTGGATCGACTGACACCTGGCCTCAGGACTCTGGTGATACTGGCTGAAGTTTGTGGTGCCTTCTAAAGACAAACTCTTCAAGCCATAACTGTTATCTACCAGGGACCTCCTACCGTGATCTACTTTACTAGCCGCCTAGGCCTCTGCAATCATGGTACAAACAGAATTACTCTTCTAGAGTTTTCGTGAACATTGTACAAGTGGCTGGAACCACTAATGGAACACAAAATGTGACTTGGGATTCGGGACTGGACCTAGGGCTTGGGACTGGGACCTGGGACTTGGGACGGGGACCTGGGACTCTGGTGCAGCCT